TCCTGCTCAGAATTTCTTGTACCACATACGTCACTCGAGTTACCACGCTTTCTAACGATAGAACCCGTGTCTCGTATTCACGATCGAAGTTGCGAATTCCGGCCGACTTTTTTTCCCTCCGCTGCATGAAGAAATTTAACGTAGCTCGCGTTTAACGACCTCGCGTTAGAATCCTCCTCACGTAGGAAATTAATAAGTTGCACGGAGCCTCGGTTATCCTTGACCTTTCGTTACTTGTCACGACCGCGGGGTTATCGTAACGCGGGATCAGATCTAGACTGTTCAAAAGCACTTGTTCGTACTCTTCCGGGACCGTAGGAAATTCATCGTGGAATGCTCTAGAAGCCGCTAGAAATGGAGAAATCGCCGAGGATCGCGCCACGACGCGGCAACAAAGAAGAAAATATAGAACGAACCGAATTGTTGCGAGGAAACGAAATCGAGATGAAATATTTGGATAATTGAATAATCCGTGATACATCGTTATCCTTCGTTTCGTTCTGAGAGGCCGCTCGCAACGTGTCAGTGGGACCTGGCACTAAAACCTAACAGTTAGTAACGGGTACTGCTAACTGTGTCATAAAGAAGGATCCTCCGCAGCACGAAAGCATTTCAGTATTTTAGACGGCGTGCACCGGGTATATCAACGAGGAAATTGCAACCTCCTTCGTAGAAAAAAAAAAAAATGTGAAAATTTCGCTAAGCAGCTGTACACTTGTTCGGAAACGATCGAGGCCGAAATATCGACATTCTGTATCCACGGGCTGTAGAAGAATAGAGTATCGTTATGGCAATAGCGGTAGTTTGTAAATGCAATTCCGCGATGTGCAATTGCATCATGAATGGGACGATATATTTAGTTAGGAAACGGCGTGTGTACTCAAAGGGTGTCAAAGTTGTTAGCTGGTTGAATAATAACGAGCGTAAACCGTTTCTGGAAGAAATTTATTTGACGAGTACCGTGTGCTCGCGATCTGCCGACGTGTCGCAATTCTTGCTGATTCGAGCAACAACAAATCATAGGCAACGTCCGGGGAGAATGTTTCTGGACCACTTCGAGTCGAATAAATAATCCAGCGTTCACTTCGAGCTGAAATGGAAATTTCTAATCCGGATAATTGCGACAGATCGAGGGGTATTAGAGATCGTGCAGTAGATTAACAAGTCGGAGAAGTTGGAGCAACGGCCTTGCCCTTGACCAAGAAACCACGATATGGCTTGTTTCGATGGCTCGTTTAATTCAGCATACTTCCCATTGTCGTATCGTATATACACGCAGAAAAGATACGTTTGGTTGATGGTTCTTGGACATTTAGAGGTCGACACGGCTATTAGGTATTCGGGTACCAACGACGAACAGGACATGAAATAGGAAGAGCACGAGGAGGACGAGGAGGACGGAGGCTGCTCGGCTCGTGATCGGTGAAATTTCTCCGGAGTAACTTCCTCGGCTCTCTGGCTAGTGGGGAATCGACATATTGCTGCCGCGAGGTTGTAGAGACATCCATAGTGAGGCTCGCTGGTTTGTTGCCCCGATGCCAATTCACGATTGGCTTTAAGTTAGTGCCGGTGTCTCTGTGTCAGCACGCCATTTCTCCTGCTCTTTCTTTTCTTCATTTTTCTTCTCTTCTTTTTGGAAAATTACAGCTGGTTAGACACCGAGAGTAATCCTGGAAAATTCATACTACTCGAGCAGGTTCAGTTTCTGTTTTGTTTCCTTTTCTCAAGGAAAATCACGATTGTTCATTTTCCTATAAAATCGAGACGTAATTATGCTCGAAGCGATAGTGCTCGTTTGAGCGGAAATCGTTACCGGAAGCAACTTCTTTACATCCTCCTTTCTTTTCTCCGTTTTTCATCTTCCTTTTTTTCTTCTTTTCGAGAAACTGACAATTTCCTCTTCGATGTTAACAGTTTCCTGCGAGCACGCGTTCCAAGAAAAGCGGTGTCCTACTCGCTTGCCTATTTTTTGCAGAGTATCGTAAGGATCGGTATTCGAGCCGTCTGTGACCTAATATCCATACTTTCAATGCTTCGAACCAAATCTGCCGAGAAGGAAAAAAGGAGGAAGCGCGCGAAAGGGTAAACACACTCGGAAAAATATCGGCTGCTTTTTTCTTCTTTTTTTCGCGATGGGGTAAAGCATGGGCAGAGTGAGGCGAGTGAGAGAGATAGAGCGAGAAGGGGGGGATTGCAGAGAGACACAGAAAGGGAATGCGGGAAAGAGGAGGAGAGCGGAGGAGAGAAGGACGAGAGAATAACAGTGTGGTGGGGTGTTTCCAGTAGTACCGCGACGGCTGCAGAGTAGGTCAGTGTACCACATTAACCGGTATTTCAGGGGAGTAGGGGGGCTTCCGTCTCGTCAGTTCCGTAAGCGTCTATAGATACTCGCAACTCCGTCCACGGTCGCGTCCATACTCGCCTTGCTTCTCAACCACGAGCATAACTGCTTCGTTCGTTCGGATGTTCGAGTATTTTTTCCGGTTTTCCTTCAGCATGTTCGACTATCCGACGAATCGATCCGGCTTCGTTTATAGGGAAACTTACGTCAGAAATGAAACTAGTCTTTTCGATTATTCGAATGTCAGCTTGATCTTGAATCTTTCTCCTTGACGGAGTTGCCAGTTTCGTTCCGCGAACTACCACCCTTGCCTTCTTTAACCTTTACCTTAATGGTTGCCGCACTTTCTCCGTTGGCAGCTCAGAGCCAAGTTCCCTTGCGCGTACGTTTCTATGCATCTAGAAGCCACGACGTTGCATTTTAATGTCGGACGTTCGGACGAATTTTAGTAGAATTTCAAGTAATTTCTCTGTGAAAAGCTCTCTTGAGAAAAGCTCACGACTCCTCGATCGTGAATATCAATCGGTACGCAGAGGTTCACGTTTAGTTTTATTTTATCAACGATAATGTTTGTTTGCATCGATTTTTGCCCGGCTGAGCATCGCTAGATCGATCACGTACAATTGCAGAATCGCTTTTTGACAGAATACTAACGAGTCGTTACGAGAACCATGACTTAAAGGCACGGTATTTGCGCGAAGAATGCGAAACAAACTTACGAACGGGTGGTACCGCTTGTGCAGGCGTTCAAGTCTCCGATTTCAATACGTGCGCGCGAGCCAGTTTGCGCACCCCGGGAAGACGAGTATACGCAAGCGATTCACAATTTGGAGAATTTTCAAGAAAAGGTACTCTTTACCCACATAACTGACGCTAATCAGTCGGAACACTAATGAAGGTGCTAAATGTAACCGTGTTTGAATATACCGCTATAATAGATAGAAGATAGTACCCTCATTTGACGCATCTCTATCTTCCGAACGTATTTAACGCACAAATTAACGAGACTGATTGGCACGTTGGCTTCTACTGCCCTGCATTCCAATGGAACTCAAATAATCAATTTTTAAAGTAACTTCCGCTATTGCGAAAACGTTAAACTTCTTATCCAGACTTTTCCACCAAAGAGAAAAATTCAATTTTCCCAGGGATGATTTAACGCATAAATTCGCATCAGCGATCGAAGAAAGGAGAGGATCGATTAGTGTGAAAGATTTCAAGGTGACCGGAAACAAGAGGAAAAGCGAAGAAACGGAGCTGATCTTGTAAATTCGTGAACTAAAAAGGCAGGCAGGAGGGCGCAGTTCTTCATTCATGTTCTTCGAACGCGGAAACGTGGAAGTGAATTTCACGTTTACTCGTTTCTGGTTTTACGTAGTACGAGAGAGGCACGGATGTGTCCGCTTTCAGCGTCCAAACGATAAAAGCAGAGACACAGAGGCAAATATGACTCGTTTCCCGTATGTGGGTCACCGTGAGGAACTGCGATTCGCACGCGCCATTTTTCACAACGAAAAGGAAAGCCATGGCACAGGCGCCTAGCAAAATCCGACTGGTTTTGCGTAGGCCTCCTCTCCGCGTCGAGCGCAACGCGTAACGGTGCTTCGACCTACTTCCGTTCCCCACTGTACGACAGCTCGGATATAGTTTAGCTGCGTATAGTAGTACGAACAAGTGTGCTCCTCTGTCACATGACCACACACACACACACATATTTCTCTTATCCAAGCCTCGATAAATTCGAGAATTCCTCTGAAAATAATGTAAACGTAAGCATACGGCAGAATTCCTTCGTTTCATGTCTGTAAGAAGCTGAAAATTGAACGGATCGTTACACAGAAGTCGGAAGAGGAGATTGACGGACGAAGAGGAGAAGCGTTCTAACGTTTGTGCATCAGAAGTGGGTTAGGACGGTGCGCACGGCTCGCACGCGCCATTTTTCACAACGAAAAGGAAAGCCGTCTGGACAAAATCTAGCCGATTTGCGTAGGCTTCGAGCGCGCAGTGGGCTGTAACGGTGCTCCGGCCTACTTCGCCCCCCTTCCCGGTCCCCACTATACCCGCGCGCTGTATAGTTTCGGGGTATAGTCACGGGGGGCACAAGTGCACGCGGACCACGATACGGATACACTTTTTTGCTCGTACCGAGCACAAGTGTATACACCGGTGAAGGCTGTACAATTTCCACCATGTTGCCGGTCGTTGCGTTCGTTTGTCCACAATGCGAAGGAAAAAGGACGAATTTGTCCGATTTGTTGCCGAGGAATTACTAATGAGGAACACAGAGAAGGATGAGAGCGCACGAATCGATATAAGAGTCGAATTGGTCGCGTCGCGGGGATACCCGGTGATCTCATTGATAAGTGGTTCACCGAGACATTGTCGTAGGCTCGAAAAAGTAGGACCGAGCCGCGCGAGCCGGTTTTTCGAAGAGTCGTGGAGAGTCCGTGAGCGAGTTCGCGCCATTGAATAACGGTACCCGATGAATACGTCACGGCTCGACGAGGGGCCCCCTATCTTCTCTTGCAAGTCGGTCCCCGAAGTGGGGACCTCTGACGCTTGTCTACCATTCGCTGGCAACCGACAAGGACGGGCTCGAACCGACAACAAGGACGGACACGAGGTAGTTCTCCCATGCGGCTCTCGCGAGGTGGAAAGGATGGCAGGAGGAGAGAGAAGAAGGGAGCTCGTGGTGGCCAGCCAGACTATACGTATGTGCCGACCATTTGCATGATTCCCATGACGTGCCTCTATGGCCACGCGGATGTGTCAGTCGAAACGGGGAACAGAGAGAGACCCGATTCGCGTTTTTTTTTTGGGAGGGGGGGCAACATGTGGGGATCGCGGACTCCTCTCGTACGATGCAAATAAACCTCCTGCTGCGCGACAATCCGGGACAGATTGAAACGCGCTTTTGCCCTCAAACTTCGCTATTTATCGAGTAAATGCTTAAATGCCGGCAATTTGTAATCGATTTCCATTTGTTTCCATCGGAACACCATCCTTCTCGACCTTGTCTCTTCCCGAACGAACGTTCTTCATTTTTTCTTGCCGATTTGTTTTCTCGCATTCGTTGCCGGATGGTATATGGTAGCTGGTCGTTCGAAAGACGAAAATGTATATTTTTAACCACGGCAATTTGGTTGGTCGAGTGAACCCAGCCATGGTTGGTTAGCGTGCCACTAACCTAGTTAGCGGGAGCAAGTCTTTCTTTCCGAGAGAAGTGGTGTCTACCTACTTAACATCGCGGTACACGCTGCTGTATATATGTGTATTTAAACGTGACTGTATCGTACGTACGGTTATCCGTAGGAGAATATTATTTGCGATACGCGTGCAAATAACAATCAATTGATCTTATTCTCGCGTGCACCGTGGGAAGTTTCAATTAAATTATGAATATTAAATTATCGACTTGTAGAAGATTATCATTTTACACTAGTCCATTCGTAGCGGGGAAAGAAAAAATATCAGTTACGCGTCAGCTGTATAATAGAATTCCTCTCGAAAGTCCGAAATTTATGTTTCAGGTCCCCGCGGCGCCGTTGGCGGTTGCAGCACCCCCGGCAGTAGATTGGATCCCTGGCGGAATCCTGGTTCCTTCCTCCCCTCGACCCCTGGGCCACCAAGGATCGACCAGGGGCCACCGGATAACGGTAGCGGTGCTTTTCATCAGTTCTATAGTCCGAAGAATAATCGTAACGCAAATAGCTCGTCGCAGCAGCAGTCTCAACATCAGCAGCAGCGTCACTCGATTCACAGACAGTGCCAACAGCAAGCGAACCAACAGGCGATCGCGGCGAAGAACGTTTGCGCGAACTACAGCATCGCCTCTAGCTCGTCTTCTCTGTGTTCGTCGTCGAGCCTCGGTCACGTGGATACGGTAGCACGAGCTACCGATGCCGTAGTTTCACCTAACAGCGCATACGGCATCGCCTCCTCGTCACCGGAACCTCCTACAGCCGGTAATCTCATCCTTTCCACGCTTCTCACCAGCACCACGTCCTCCGCGGACAATCGAACCGGCGAAGCGACCTCGCGAATTACTAATTCCGGCCACCAGGGTAACGTTTTACCCTCTAACAGCACGCACTACGTCGGCAACAACACTGTTGCGTCCGCGGATTCATTGAACGGGATCTTATCGTCTCTAAACGTTCGGATCAAAACGGAGGAGTATCCGAAAATACGGTCGGAGGAACGGAGAGCGACGCTGTCTTCGTCCTCCAGCTTCAACGCTTCTTTACTCAGCTCGTTGCTGTCCACCTCGCGTATCTCGACGGCCAGCTGCCGAAACGACACCAACGAGGAGGTGATACTCTCGAGATCGTGCAATCAGCTTGAGTTTCCGTCTCCGGGCGCGCAGCAAGCGAGCCAGGAGCAACAGCACGAGGAACAGGCTACTGTGCGTAGCATCAAGGTAGAGTACCCGCAGCAAGACGTTCTGGACACCGGTGAGGAAGAAGAACTAGCTGCCACGTCGCCGTACGATATTATCGTCGGGAGCCAGCCTAGGTGCTTGTCGAAGCAGACTAGTAAGAAAGACGCGATCGTGCCACCCTGTCCTCCGTGTGTATCGCCAACCTCGGATATCGTGATCGAGATGAAGTATGAAACACAGTCGGGTCCACCGCCGGCGCCGCCTCACTTGACCTCGTCCGGGGTCGAGCCACCACATAGCAGCCAAGGGACGGGTATCGTCGTCGGTGGATCACCCGCAGAAGTTGTCGGCGTGGACAGTCTACTGCTGTCGCCATGGGGAGCGACCGGGCCAGATTTCCTCGAGCCTCCCGACGTGAAGCAAACGGCAGCTGGTCTGCAGGACGCGTGGGACACTCTTCTTCTTGGCTCGTCGGTCGGTGTTACCTCGGCGCAATCGTTGGCGGAATTGAAGCCCCTTCCGCCGTTCACAGGGTACACAGGTCACCTGAGTATCAACGGGATTCCTGGCCACCATTATCACACGATAGCGTCGTCCGCGCAGAGGCCATCGTTACCCTCGTCCTCGCCTACGTCCTCCTCGAACCAAGAGTATTACGAGTCTCCAGTCGTGTCCTCTAGTACACCTTGCCCGCAAGGCACCCAAAAGCAACAGCAACAGCAGCAGCAACAACAACAGCAGCATCACCAACACCAGCAACAACCGCAGCAGCAGCATCAACAGCACCATCAGCAGCAACAGCTGCCGCAGTCGACGCAGCAAGTCGACTATGACATCGAAGACATAGCGGAGATCATTGGATCTGCGATAGCAGACACGACGGTCCCTGGCGGTGGAAATGGGCCGGGGTCGGAGCACGATCCGGACGCATCGCGCGACTGGATCGACATTGCTGAATGGATCGACACCGCGTGTTCTCCGAAGGCCCAGGAAACCAGCTCGCCCAGCCCGTATTCACAGATATACGCCACGGCGACGCCTTCGACTCAGGCGCAGCAGCACGGCTCGACCCTGCAGAGTCTGTTGACGCATGGATACGCGCCCTTATTGAACGCCAGGTTACAATCGGCGAACGCCGGCAGCCTTCAGAACGCGTCCTGCGGCGAGACCCCCTCGTCGACTAGCCCGTATCCACCTGTCAGTCCACCTGGCAGAGTCTCAACCTCGTGCAGCCCCGATCACCTGTTACACTCGTCGTTCGCCGCGCCCTCCCATCCCAGGAAAAGGTCACGGCCAACCCCTGGCTCGCAGAATCCATCAAAGAAGAGTCCCGGCACCGGGGCAACCGCGCTACCCTACGGTACGGAGTCCGGGCTGATCGGCGGAAAGGAGAAGCCAGTGCACAGGTGTTCGATTTGCAACCGAGGTTTCCTCAACAAGAGCAACATCAAGGTGCACCTGAGAACGCACACGGGCGAGAAACCGTTCAGGTGCGAGGTCTGTGGCAAAGCGTTCAGGCAGAAGGCGCATTTGATCAAACACCAGCAGATTCACAAGAGGATCGGCAGGGATTAAGCTTCAGCGAAGCTGCTTCTCCCGATTCCGGGAGAGAGCTTTGAGAGTGTACCTAAATTATTACCCCGAGTACCTATCGAGATAATCAACGAGAAGCTGGACGAAGAGTATATACATTCCTATCCATGGAAAGGAACTGTCCAATCGTGTTGTGTCAGCTGTCAAGACAGAAAGAAAGAAAGAAAGAAAGTTGGCGGTACACATAGTCAAGGTCCAGGTGCAATATCGAAGAGGTATGAAACCTTCCATCGGGATTCGATTTCCAACGGTTCTTCCGCGAGGCCATGGATGAGATACGAAACGATCTGTCCAGGAGAAGTGAGATGATCTCTCGTGCTGTGTTATATTGACGTAAAAGTGAGTGCAAGCCACTGCGGAGTGCACGGTGTGTACATATATGTATATCAATAACAGAGCACACGTACGCGGGTACGTGCGTATATATAGAACGTTAACGATTTCCAATAAAACTATGTTCAAGAGAAAGAATATACATATGAATACATATATGTATACGTATATATATACATAGTTAGGTGTAACATATACGATATAAACGTAGAAGGAAGTGACGAAAACTATGCGAGGCGCGGCCACGCGTACGGGGCCCCGCCGCAGATGTACCTAAGCTCTTCCAAATACGTTTCATTTTTATTTCTTTTTTCTTTTTATTTTGAATAGATTCTATCGCTTGTTCTCTTATTTATATCGCTTTTATATCATATCTTCTCTATCCACCCCTCTTCTTCTTTGTCGGTTTGTCTCTGTAAGATAGTCATAATCGTCTCCTGTCACTTTTTATTTAAGTCCCCCTACTCTTTAGCTTTTGATCTTCACGCACCGTATGTAACATGTAGGACGACATGTTTTTAGAATTGTTTAAGGACAATATCTCCTCCTCCCCTCCCTCCTCCACACCGCCACCCTCTCGGGGCGACTCGAAGGTATGATTTTTCTGCTCCTCTCTATATTCAGCAGTCGTGTTTGTCGAGGCTTGTTTACGGGTTTCCCCTCCCTCCTTTCCTTTCTTCTCCGGTTTGACGAAAATCCAATCGAGGAGGGAAGAATTATGCGTACACCCAAGTTTATTCTTTGTTTCGAATTCTTTTTGTCGTCGAGGACGAATCACGAGCCTTCGATGGATCGACCGATGGAGGGTGATGTAATTGTTGCTTTGAGGAAAAAAATGAAGAAAAGGAAGAAGAGATACTATTACTTCGAGGAAATACTCATTCTTATTAGCTTTCGATGCTCGCCGATCTCTCTCGAGAGGTGTTGATATTAATTTATTCGTCTGTCCTTCCCTACTCGATCCACGAACTCTCGTCGACGTCGTGTTCTCTGTTGCAATGTTCGGTGGCTGCGAAATTGTAATTTGTATAAAGTCAGAAGATGTGGATTATTTATAAAATTCTTTGATTAAATGATTGTTACCGTAACATGAAGTTGCCAGCCGAAGTTTTTCTACACACGATCCTTAACGAATCCCCCGCGATTCCCTCGTTCGCTGCTACAATTTTCTCGTCTTCCCGTCGTGTATCCGCGCGATGAGATTTTTCAATAAAGACAACGACACCACCGATGAAACGTGCAATTTGGGCCAGCACGAGGTAAATTCATACTATTCGACGTGTTTTCTTCGTTACTTTTGCAAAACGTGCTTAGACCGTGCGAAACGATCATCTTGAACAATAAGGTTTGCTATTTTCGTGGAAGGTTAATCGAAGCGGAACGTATCGACATTCGCAAGGTGAAAGTTAGCAAGTTTTCGTCCGAAATAATCAGGCTGTAATACTTGACAACGAAACGTACGCTCGGTGTATTTATGGGACTAGCCAATCAGGAACCATACCGAGATGTCGGTTCCTCATTGCGTGTCCCGCGTATCCGGATCTCCTCTCACGTGTATGTGCCCGTTTTCTTACTTTTATTTCACTGTGGTAAGTGTGGCACCGGCTCAGGTAGGCCCAATGTCCGGATTCTGTTTATCCGCGCATAATGGTCGCGTTGCGTGTCTCAATTTGAAAAGGAAAAAGAAGAAACAGATTCTTCCGTGTATCAATGTGGGCGCTTCGCGAAAATATTTCGAGGGTTTCGGAAATGTGTAACGTCGTGCACTGTGAAAGGTACCGGGAGTTAATTAGTTTGAAATCTCATTTTACAGCAGAGGGTTCTTGCGTTCAATTCTTTCCTCCGACGTACTTACGACATCCGTAAAAATAAAACCTTTTTCATTCAACTGTTTGACTTCCTGCTTTGTTTCATCGCGTGCATGTAACGATTACAATTATTTACTCCAGCCCGTCCTTTACGCGCAATTTATTATCGTTTCCCTAATTAAATAATCAGTAGAAAGTTTTCTCTTTTTACATCGGTTATTATATTATCATTACGTGGCCTTGTATAATTGAATCGGTAAGCTGAAGAACGGTGCAAGTCCAAGAAGTGTATTTAGAGATGTACTGATTTCACAGTGATATTTCAATTTGAACACGACTACGCCAACCCTAACTACGGTGAAACATTTTTCATAAATTTTTAACGATTAAAATAAAATCATTGGACCTCCGGCGCTTTTAACTCGTGCTACTTTTTAGTCAGGAAATTGAAATTTTTTTAAATTTTACATTTTGCTTTAAACATAATCGAAGTAGAGATTATTTAATGAAAAGTGACTGTTGAGGTAAAAAGACATTAGTTATCGTTCGTTTGTCAGTAATACTATTCCAAGACAAAATTTCTTTCATTTCGAATAAGTTTCGCTTCATTAATTTGGACATATATTGAATTTTCTCTCATTTATTGCCAAATCCATAACAGACACTGGTTTTGCACTCGTTAAACTGAAAGGACTGCTTGAAACACGGGCGTAGAGTATTTCTTTTGCACCGTTCTTCGTCCCAAAACGTGTAGTTCTACGTATAGTTGTGAGATTTTCGAAAATGGCTACTTTTAGACTTGTACTGTTCTTCAACTCACCGATTCCATTCAATTTCTTCTGCATGAGTGTAAACAGGTTCGCGTGGATCGCGGATTTCCCGACTTTTCAATGGTCACGCGTACACACTGTCGTTCGTAAGTATTAGGACACCCATTATGTTCGTGTAGAAAGTATTATACGATTCAAATTACATTTTCCAGCCAAAATTAGTGCCGCATATCGGTAAAAATATACATACACTCGTTGTACCACGAGATTCTGGAATGAACAATTCTTTTCTAAGATTTGAATAATTTTGTACTGACTTTTGTGAGTCAAATAATTTTGTGTTAAACTTGTAACGACAACGGGGTTTGCTTCGCATTCGGTAAATAGATTTCAGCAGACGTCTGTAGAATTCAGTAGATTTTCGCAGGCTTCGAAGGATTTCAATAGATACAGTAGACTTTAATAGAGTTTACTCAACAGATTTCAGTAGATTTCAGCAGAGTTCAATAAATATCAATAAATCTCACAAGATTTTGATAGATTTCAGTAGAGATCAATAGATTTCAACAGGTCTCAAGAAACTTCGATAGATATTAGTAAAATACAGTAGACTTTAATAAAGTTTACTTAACAGATTTCAGTATCAATAAATTTTAATAAATCTCATAAAATTTTGATAGATTTCAGTAGAGTTCAATAGATGTCCAGAATCTTCAATAGACATTAGTAGAACATAGTAGATTTTAATAGAATTAAGCAGATTTCGCTAGATTTCGGTAGATTTCAATAGAATTCGCCAAGTTTCAGTACGTTTCACGTTCAATAAGTGCCCCAATACTTGCGAACGGGAGTGCATTTCGCCACCATCATGTATTGTAAGAAAGATCTCGTGTCAATTTCACCTGACAAACAGCACGTGTTAAATTGTGCACGGGGAGATTGTTTAAGAAACTGAACTCGAGACAGTTTCTCCGTGACAGGTTATGGGAAGGGTGTATAGGTTAGAACAGAGACCATGGGCTATTGTTAAATGTAATAATATAACGGGGTTACGGTCTCAAAGGTTATGCGGCCTCTCGTGACACTGTCTCCGCAGGAAGATATGGAGATTGAGGCAGAACTAGCAGAGCGAACGAAACGATCTTCTTATTTCCCTCCGACTATGGAGATCCGTTAAAACCACAAGCGCGGATTACAAATACGAACGAATGCTCCGCCCGATTCACGAGGTAGACAAGTTCAGAGGCATGAATTTGTATCGCCGAAGCGAATTCGTTGGAAAATGTGAAAGTAAGCTGAAGTCGATAAAGATGCAGGATCTTTCTGATACAAGTAGACAAATTTGAAAGTAACGTTGAAAAAAAGATCGTGTAAACGTGAGTTCTGAAATCCTCCTTTTTCGTATTAACGGTTAAACACCTGGCGATTCAGGTGAAATACGTCAAATACTCTGCACTTGATGGAATAATTTTGTGAAAATTAGTTATTTTTTTAATTTACCGAAAACTAATCCTATTCAACAAGTGTACGCAATATTGTGATTATAAGAGTTAATAATATTTTATTTAGCTTTAATATTTCGAAATAGGCGTAAACACGAGTATAAGTGAATTAAATAAATAGTTATCTTTGGTACGGTAATCTTCATAACCTGATCTCGTATGCAAAAGCTTCGTCAATTTTTGGAATACCATTTTCTGTCCAGTTCATATCGACAACGTCATCATCTGAATCACTGTACAAGGGAGTTCTCGTCATAATCTTCTTGGAACACCAAAGTTCTCTTCTTCCTCGGTTACGTCCTCATATTCCCTGACACTACCTGCAACATCACTTGGAATGTCTGATAGTATTTGAAATTTTCCATAAAATATCTCGTTCTTTTGTACATCCATTTCTGTTTCGTAGAATTTAAAAAAATTTTAATCATAAAATACACAAGGGTAACGGTTTCGCAACGAATTCTCTAATCTGGTGTTTGAGTTTGCAGACAAAAGCACGCATTGACGCGTCACCGGGTGTTCAAGTGGTAATAATATCTTTGGTTTGTTATAGATTTCGGGGAAATATT